CGAGCGGAACATGTTCCCGGCGACGATACTCGTATGAACGGACACCTAGCGCACGTTTTACCGTACGCGCGCGAGAGCTCTACTCTCTCTCTCTCTCTCTCTCTCGCCAGCAATTGTCCACCGCGAGAGCGCTGGAAACTTTCATAAATTTCGTCACAGAGCGAGCAAATGGCTTCCGGTCCAGCGGTCGGACATTGTCGATAACAGGCACGTCGCCAGGGGGCGAATTCAATATCGCATTCGCACCACCGGACTCTGCCGCAGCCCCCGCTTCTTCCGCAGCCACCTCGATGTGCCCCTTGTCACCCCCGCCGACACATACCCCCTCCCCCGCGCCAGCATTGTCCCTCGCATTGTCCCGAAAGTTTTCGGCGAACCGGCATAGCAGGCTGAACCGCGTGATTACCATATGAATTAAAGTAATGTGATATACGATCGCGGGATATACGTTCAGCGCGGCCGCGTTTGCAGAAGACACCTGCGGACTCGAGAACACTTAAGGCGGAAAAGACGTCGGGGTAGCGGAATCGCGAATTACAAAAATCTGAAGCTTTCAAGAATCGTCGCCGAGAATAAAGTCGTATGAGCGAGAGAAGAAAATCTCCCATTTTCTGCTCGGAAAAATTCAGACGAAAGTGTTTTTTCACATTTCATCTACCGTTCGCAGGAGCAAAATTTATTCTTGCCAATCATTTTTTGATAATACTTATTATAAAATTAATTGTATATGGAGATATATGTATATATGTACTATATATACAGTATTAAAAATTTAAACATAAATCATATATAATTTATAAAATTCATAATTTATCAAGTGTAAAATCGTTGTCAGAATTAAGTATAAATTATGTATTCTGTCTCACTGATAATTGCTTTTCCAAGTATAATCATCGATTTGACATTTCAGCGACTAATCTGAAAAAAATCTAGCTCTATCGGGCGCAGTAATATTTCTCAAAGACATTATTCTAGGCAGTTTTGGAACTCTTTTATTGTTTGGATGTTCACTAATAATGTACGCAAATTTGTCACGGCTGAAGACAAATCGCGCGCAACCCTCGAGATCCTGAAGAGAGAAGGAGAGAGATCCCGCACGCGCTGTCCTCCTCGATATACCGCGATACCGTCTCCCCGTTTTAAAAACGTTCACTCGGTCACATCTCGGACGATTTGGGGCCAGTTTGAAGCCGCTCAACAATGGACCAAACCGTCGCCAGCATTTACCGCAGCCAGCTATCGGCTTGACGACGCGCGCGTAGCCACGCGACTCTGGCCGGCGCGATATCTCGATCGCAATAAATTCACATTAAACTATCTGTTCTGCTGTGGTCCCGGCCGCAGCTTTAATACATCCCGCCCGACTCCCTCTAAGTCTTCGCTCTATAGCGAAACACCCCCGCTATAGCTTCGGACATCCGCTTCGTTGTCGGCGCTGATTTTCATTTTCTGATTTTACGATCTTTTCCACGTCATCCTTTTTTGCTCTCTCCTTTCCAATCACAATTCTCTCATTAATATTCGATTCGAGAAAGAGATGCGACAATATAAATAGTACTATAAAAAAATATAGATATAGATAATTCGATTCTTTTGCTAACAGCTTTTAATTGCCAAGAAAGTTCATTAATTAAATAATCTTGAACGGTATAATAATCTTTGGATAAAGAAAAATAAATAAAGCTATGCATTTAATTTGTATTGAAGAAAATTAATAATTGTATTCTTAACGATTTTACACAATGAGTATTAATCTTATCGTTGGAAAAGCATTACGTGGCATTTATACGTAATATCTCCAACGATTGCAATTATTCCACTCAACTTCATTTAAAACACCGTATTTCACTAAACAAATATTCATGCAGCGAAATATGCGACGAAAAGCGGAATTAATCGATTCGAATTACACGAATCCTTCTTTCTGTTTTCCTACCATTTCTCCGGCGTACTCCATCTTCCTGTTTGGCGAGCAGCAATAATTAATACGCGTTACGAGCATGCCTCGCTAATCTGGTGTTAGAATTGTGTTGGCGATTACCGTCCCTAACGCAGGTAAATACGAGATCGCGTAAACTCGACCGCCGGTTAAACTCGCGCGTAGCTCGCTCACAATGGGCGGCGTGTGTAAGGCCGCCGCATTAATTTCTAGTAATTATCAGAGGTGTATTTCATCCGGGGTGGGTCGCGGGTCGTGTCCGGGGTCGGCCACTGCGTGTTAACGCCGTTGTTATGCCCCATTATATTGTCCTACCAACACACGCGAAATAAGGGTAAGGCAATTGCGTGCAGAGACGGGTGTCATGGCCCGCGAAAAGGCTCGCCGTGCGGTCCGTTTTGAAAAATTAAATGTGTGTCCCGCATTCTCTCCTTTTCTCTTTTTTTTTTTTTAGTTTCTCTCTCTTTCTCATGCTGCATTTTTTACGAAATTTTTGCGATATTGTATACTTCGAATAATATATGATAAATTATTACGTGTGTATTGTTCATGTGAGAAACTCAATTTTTCAAATAAATTAATACAATTGTCGCTCGTATATTGAAAACAAGTGATAAATATAAGGCCAACTTATCGAGCTGAATATTCGAGATGTTCAGTCAACTACCATTTATTACATGTATAAATTATAAAACTACAGTCATTATATTAAAACTAACGCAAATTACAATCATTCTATAAACGTTTCGACCGCACGCGGTCTTCTTCAGTATAATTATTGAAATATAAATTCTTACAATTCACATAATATCGAAATTTAATTATAGTTATTCAGAATCAAGAGTTTTTGAGTAATTAACGCGTGTTTCAATCCGTCCTGTCCAACAATGTTCGCCTCGATATGATCCCTGATTTTGTTCAGATCTCGGATAGTTTCATCGTTAATATGCGAGAAATTAACCCGTTCCGTAGGCGCTGCGATTTATAAAAAATTACCGATCAACGCATGTCCAAATTATAATATGATCCCCTACAATTGGTAGTATGCTTACCTATCATCGTTCTTCTTGATAATTTGCTACTTATTAACAGTTATTAAGGATGACACATAACAAACCAACAATACAGAAAGACAGCTCATTTTAAACTCTACTTGATCGGAGAGCGTGCGTGTTTATATATGATCTAATATCTATGTTTTACTCGTTAATGTCCTATTTGTCCTATTATTATTTCTTGTTCGCTAATATATCCAAAATATCAAAATACGACTCGCTAAGTAACTCAGTATCTTTGTTTAAATTTAGTCCATTTTTTTGTTCCTTGATATGTAGCTACATATCAAGGAACAAAAAAATGGACTAAATTTAAACAAAGATACTGAGTTACTTAGCGAGTCGTATTTTGATATTTTGGATATATTAGCGAACAAGAAATAATAATAGGACAAATAGGACATTAACGAGTAAAACATAGATATTAGATCATATATAAACACGCACGCTCTCCGATCAAGTAGAGTTTAAAATGAGCTGTCTTTCTGTATTGTTGGTTTGTTATGTGTCATCCTTAATAACTGTTAATAAGTAGCAAAATTATCAAGAAGAACGATGATAGGTAAGCATACTACCAATTGTAGGGGATACATATTATAATTTGGACATGCGTTGATCGGTAATTTTTTATAAATCGCAGCGCCTACGGAACGGGTTAATTTCTCGCATATTAACGATGAAACTATCCGAGATCTGAACAAAATCAGGGATCATATCGAGGCGAACATTGTTGGACAGGACGGATTGAAATACGCGTTAATTACTCAAAAACTCTTGATTCTGAATAACTATAATTAAATTTCGATATTATGTGAATTGTAAGAATTTATATTTCAATAATTATACTGAAGAAGACCGCGTGCGGTCGAAACGTTTATAGAATGATTGTAATTTGCGTTAGTTTTAATATAATGACTGTAGTTTTATAATTTATACATGTAATAAATGGTAGTTGACTGAACATCTCGAATATTCAGCTCGATAATTGGCCTTATATTTATCACTTTGTTTCAATTTTTCAAAGTTTAAAAAATATCTGTTTGATGGATTGCATTAAAATAATTAATATTTCTTTGGTTTTTTTTTCTTCCTCGTATCTTTAATCGCGATATGATAATAATAACGCTAGCGGTCGCCCCAAATAATTTTTCGAGATGATTCATCGATGCGTAACATGCGGAAACACGCGGTCAAAACGGCATTTTGAATGGAGAATCGCGCTGCGTAACGAATCGCAGCGAAAATTGATAAAATATTATTTAATCCACCCCTCCCTTCTTACCTTCGCGCGGCGCAGGAGATAGCATTACTAATTTATTTAAATGGACTTATCTTGCCGAAGCCCCCCGATAGGAATGTAAATTGGAACTCTCCGAATCAAGGGGGTAATGGCACGAGTAAGATAAAGATATTTTATTGCTTTGTGGTCGGACATATTTAAGCAGGGTCGAAATTCTTTTTTCCATTGTCAAATGATTCGATGGTTAGAGAGACAAGGAGAGAGAGAGCTCGGCTCCCTTTATTAACTTTCCGTCGTTGTTCGCGAAAATGGATCTTTGCAGATTAAGAATTCGCGCCACGCCAGCTGCTGATTAAAAGCGAATATATACGATCGCTTTGTCGTAAAGAAAAAAGGAAAATAGCGTGATAAAGTCAAACGCGAGTTCTCCACTTTTTGCTCATCTTTTGCTGAGCTTTCTCTTAGCGATTATAAATTTATATTGTACAAATAATCTTTATAGTGTGTATTATATATCATGCTAGTACACGTTCTTCAAAAACCTTTTTACATATCTCTTTTTCGGATAGAAAAATTGTAAATGTATAGTTGCATGGTCTTGCAAAATCATGATTAAAATGTACAAAAAATAATTGTTTCAAATTATACAATTAATCGCAAGAGAATTAAGAAAAGTGACAATAGAAAAAAAATCACAATCGCCGGCTTCTTCCAAAAGCTTCAATTAAATCAAAAGAAAACAATAATATCAAATTAAGTGACTCACCAAAAGGAGGAAATTGAATTCTTCCAGTCTAGAGCACCTGAAACATAAAAATAAAAAATTTTTAATTATCAAAATAAATCTTGTAATTATGAAATCCATATTTTTCATATCACAGAAAACACATATAGCTACGCATATTTAGAACGGCGCCTTATTTGCTCACTTCCTATCCTTATCCGACGATAAGGCCGTTCGCGCAGCCACTTCTCGCGAATGATAAATCCGTGCCACGAGAGCCGCGAAATTCGGGCGGATACGCGTCGACGTCGCGCGACGGCGCAACAAAGAGCGAGCGGCTGCCGAAAAATAACGCGACGAAAAAAAAAAAAAACAGGCGAAACAGAATAAAAATAGAACAGAATAAAATAGAGCATTGTCGCGCTCGGTGGAGAAGCGGTAGAGGACCGACGAAATAGAAAGGACCGGCCGCGCGAGCGCGGAGCAATAATTCGAAACAAAATGTCAAGCGGGCCCGCCATTGTCGGGCGCGGTGGTGCGGTAGGCGCCAACTAGCGCCAACGAGAAAATATCGTCGACAGTAAATCAAGGTGCTCCGGCAGAGAGAGAGCACGAGGCCCTTTCATCCCTCCGCCGGACGATCCGCTACGGGCGGCCGCACGATCATGCCGGGGCTGCGCTTCCGTTTTTCATCATACGTACGTCGTAAATAAGCCGAGACGGCTCGCCGCTTCAACGTTTCAAGGTTGCCACCGCGAGCTTCGATCGTCCGTTGCGCTTCGGGGACAGTCGATGCACCCCTTGAAATCCCGCGATCGAAAATCCATAACGCGAACGCGCGAGCACAAAATAATGATCTTTTGCTTGTAATTAAGTATCTCGAGAAGAAAAGGAGATTGGGATATTATATCGATATCGGTGAAAAACATTGCATTCCTGGATATAAGTATTGTCCGTGTAAAAATATGTGAAAATGTTAGTGACGAAAAATCTTGTCAAATCTTGAATTCTTTTTCATTGTTTGAGTCGAGAAAAAGCATTAAGATCAGAATAATACTTCGGGATCGCGAGTGCGATATAAAGATCTTATGAACATTATTAGCGTGTCAAACATACGTGTGAAACTTTATGAGCGAATTGCAGCATATGCCCTAGAAAAGCGTTGGATCGCGCGAACGAAATCGTTTAGCGACGCCTGGTTGACAGCGAAACGCTGCATCGTGAGACCGATGTAAGCTGCGTGTTCGCAGTCAAGTTACATAATCGTACCGGAAGACCGTGACGAAGCGGGAATCGGGGTGGCTGACAATAAGGACAGACAAGTATGTACTTAACTCATATAAAGCGATGCTCAATGAATCTTTGCATTCGCATATTAATTAAACGTCACATCGAGCAACTGGTGTATATAATCAATTTAAAATTTAAGTTTCATGTACAAGTAATTTTAAAAATTTTATTTCATGTTTCTCATAGAAAAACAATTTTCTAAATTTGTCTAGGACTGAAAAAGGATCCAACTTTATATATGGACGCTCGCAATGACTCATGTGTTGCGAAGACCCCCACAGAACCCCCGAAGAAAACGCGTGATCGAAGGCACAATGGTGGGAAGTGATGTGGACGTCAAGACGCGGCTCGTCTGGCGAGAATCGGTAAACCGAAAACTTAATGTCTCGGAACGGACGCCATATTAGCATATCCGCGTCCAATCGTCGCCCACGTGGCAAGGGTGCCGTAGCGAATCGGCCCCGGGCTATGACATTGTCATTATTTCACTGACAGAACAAGCATGCGCGCGATTCTCCACGGGAAGTATCGCTAACAAGAATGGGAAGGGTAGCGAACCGATCACAAGAAAGAAAGACAGTGATACCGAATGCTCGACTTTTAAAGAAAAAATATGGAGCCCCGATTTTGCAAAGCATTTTCGTTTCATTAATCGATTTATCATTCGTTTTTCACAATCATAAATTAATTAGTAACTTATTTGCTTTACAAACTTGTTACTCATTTTACAAATTTTCTCAATAGCTTTTTTCTTTTTCTTCTTATCAGTAAATATTAAACATGAGCAAACATAATTCACAAAATAATTTGTAATATTGGTTTAAAAATAATTATATTTATAACAAAGCAACAATATGCAATATATATATATATATATATTTATATATGTGTATAAAAGATATAGTAAAGCTCTCAATCATTTCTCAAAAATCAGAAACGTGAGAGAAAAATAAGAAAGTTTATAAAGAAAAGGGATGAAAGCGGAGCAAAGAATTTTGCCATAGTATACAGTGCGAGAAAGAGAGCAAGAGAAATGATGGAAAGAGATGCTGAAGAGATGATGAGAGTCCTCAGAGACCCCTTCGTCGCTTTGTAAGGGATACAACTACCGTCGAGGTCCGGGTGCTTCACGTTATTTATCTTTATGGACCTCGGGCAGAGGGTAAGTACACTTACTTCGGGGGTGGTAAAGGGGCGAACTTAAGCCGAAACGAGGGCGGTAAGAGATTGTTTGTCGTATTGGCCGCGGTTTCAACGAGCTTAACGTTACCCGTTTAGGGGATTTTCCAACTTTCTCTTGGAAGACAGAGACAGTTGTCTTTCTGAAAAAGATATTTTTTGCTTTTGAAAAAAATCATGTACGTACAATTCGACAAGTTAACATGTAAATTTATCTTAACATAATTTGCCAATTAATAACTATCACGATTTGATTATGTTCAAAAATTCATTTCAAAATACATGTATCTTAATAAATATATAATTGAATATAAAAGACGCATAGACATATATAATTTAATATACATGTATATATTATACATTATAATATATATGTTATACACATATATTATTTATAAAAATATTGATTCAAAGTGTGTTTGTGTGTGTCAATAAAATATATAAATTAACACAACTATTTTTTATTCATTTGTATTAAGACAATGCAAGTATTTTTCCCAAATTTAATTAAAAAGTTTAATAATTGATACATAAAAATATCATTTTATATAATATAACAAATTTATATAAAATAAAACTTTTCTCTTATTTCTTATAAATAAATTTGAAAGAGATAGTTATATTTTGCTCGAACCTCAGATGAAATAACAATCGATTCAGATGTCAGGAGGAGGTCTTTAAGTAGCCAGAAATTAATCTATTGCCGCGTAATCGGCTTTTGATGATTTAGCACCAAGGAGACAAGAGAAGGACGGACGACGTCTATAAAGCAAAGAGCAAAATCGATTCTATATTTGAAGTCAGTACGAATCACTATCATGCTCAACAAAATCAGTTAACAAATCGTTTATAAAAAACGATAAAAAAAATTTTATTTACATTTTTTCTTATGTAAAAATATTGTTTAATAGATATTTACAATAAAAATTAAATTTACAACAAATATAAAAAATATCTCTGATTTCTATTAATATAAAAATAAATGTCTTACATAAATATAATGAATAAATTTATATAAATTAAACTTAATATTATATACATAAAAGGATATAAGATACGATATAAAAAGGATATAAGATGGTTTATATATAATGTGTATCACGGATATTCTTTTATTATAATTAACAACGATCTGAATTACATACAGTGCTTATGTACAATGTGATATTTACAACGAAGTGATGTAACGTGATATCTTGATAAAACAATTCTTATAAAACGAAACAGAACGATATTCTTTATAAATAAGAGATCGACAATGTTCACTATACAGATTTATATTTTACATTTAATCTTAGAACAACTTTGCATATGTCGCAATATCTTAATACCTCAATATTATTATCGATACGAGACAATTATTGAAGATAATATCGAATTCTTCATTAAACATCCATACGATTTTCTCTTCCTTTAATCGATACACCGACATTTACTTATATTTTTCTCATTTATAAATGCAATCTCCTTGGTATTAAAAGTTTCACTACGAATATTTACACGCTACTGTGATTATTGCTGTACAGAATACTTGCATATGCTATCTTAATGATTACATCTCTTTTTTTCAAAATTCTTATAAATAACTTTCTATTCAGAAAATTCTATTATATTGAATTGTACTATAATTATAATTAAACGATTGATTCGATCAGAAATATAATATAATTTATATTATATATCGACGCATCGAATTACTTCTGTATAATATTTTATGTTATAAATCTTTTCATTTCTTTCATCTTTTCATAATCTTGTAGATTAAAATTTTCTAAAGAGCTGTTACAAATTATATATATATAATTTATAATTTGACAAAAATGTTTGCAAATACTTGTGGAGTACTTCGGTACGACTGAAGTTTCTTCAGCGAGGTAGGAAACGCGGCGCGATAATTCACATAATTTTCGGACAATATTAAGCCACTCGACGACGGCTTAACCCTATGTTAAGCCGTACACTGTCGGCGGGGGTGAAAACAGGAGTGCAGAAGGGGAGGGATGACGGTGAGGGCGGCTCTCGACGGTGGTTGGAGGCCGGGCTGTATTTAAAACGCGAATGCGCGCCGGCCGATTCGCCATTTGAAGTTAAATGGAGTGTAAATGGCAGATAACAAACCGGCACTGTTTCCGATTACGGCATTCATTGTTTCCTACCATTATGCGCGCTCCGACGGTTTGTGTGTGACGCGGGTTACGGCTTACGATCTATTTATTGCCAGGCCGCCTTCACCTCCGTACACACGACCGAAATGCGCTTTACACGCTTGCATCAACCCTCTTCCCTCCCTGCAACCCTTCCGCACCCCCAGCCACCCCCCGTTATCATCATTGCATCCGCAATCCACCGCCCGTTTCACCTGCCTGCCGTTATAAATACGCAGCAAATATTTTACTTCTACATCGTGGAAATGGAGTCGTTCGAATGGACCGTATGTAATTTGCGAGTGTATCGAAATACGACCGCGATTATATTTTGGCTCTGACAATTTTACCACGCTACTTTTCCCCAAATATATATGTGATTTTAGATTTCTTTATTGCTATAGTTGCTTTCGTGTCCACGTAGCTGTGTTTTTTTTTTTTTTTTAGAGATCGAATCATTCGTTTGATAAATAATTGAATATTATTTCTGAATAATATTTTAATTGTTGGATTTACAAAAAAGAAGAGATAGAAATATCAAATATTCTTCCTCGTTATATTTTTATCGTAACAATTAGAAAAATAAACATAATTGATCCAAATAAAATTTAAATGTCTGCAAACATTTTGAAATATAAATGCTAGTGATATAACCACGAATTATGTAGACGTGTGCACCACTCACATATCGTACACATTTCAAATTTTTATACATTTTTGGAAATTGAGAAACGTCAAAATTATATATCAGACTGTTCATAGAACTGTTCCTTATATGGAAATATAATATTCGAATTGAACGTGATATTTAAAAAGTAATATTTTTATATATCAACTGTGTCTGCAGTAAATGTATTAATAATCATTCCTGAAAATGATAAATTATTGCATTTTAAACTGATTAATTTAATTATTATTCGCACAGCGCAGCAAGAATAATTATAATTTAATAACTAATAATCTGTTGTCAAGAATTATCGTATATATTATTAATTTATTTACATTTCACTCTTTTTCTCTCAAAGTATGAATAATTCTTACTTATTTTAAAGAGTGACATATATTTACAAATTGTTCCTACCTAATATTGACTAGACAGGGAATGTCTTGATCGCAGTGCGTTAAACTAGAGTACATCAACCGACGCAGATATTAATTTCTCTATAGACATTAAAATTTGTTTATCGTAGACGCGTATACAATGTAAGTGCCGCAATAATACATCTATACATGATGTCGCAGATTCATTGAGCCGTCTTTTATCCACGAATTCTTTGTCCATTTTCAAATAAATTTTTAATAGAATAAATTTTTAATTTGCCATAAATTGTTAACTTTCTACAATAAGAATACATTTGTCACGAATCCTTCAAAAGTATAGATTTCGAAAATATATGTAGATGTCGAAACAGAGTTCGCTTGAAATTAAATAAAAAATAAGATTTTATTATATATTTTTGCACATTGCTGAAATTTAATTTCCGGGAAAAAGTCTTCATTTTCAATTATTTATTATTCAAATGATTTGTCGACGCGATTTTCTGAAATTAACTCTTTAACAGTTTTATTAAAAAAAATACATAGATAAAAAATATCTCGATAAATCTGCACAACGCATATATATATTCACGATAGAAGAGAGATGTGCAAAAATGTATTTAACCACAACTACCGAGAAGATGATAAGATTTGTATACCTCCGATACGTAATTGAAACGTATTTTTTTCGCAAGAAGCGATATCTCGATTTCTTTCTCAATTGATAAACGCCAAACAATTTGATCGTTATTACCTAAGAGCATCGATAGCCTGCTGCTGCTTCCCGTTATCCATCGATTCAGTTCTCAAAGGAATAGCCAGCCGTTAGAATCTCGTCCTCGATCGGCAATTTTCGTCGTCACTTACTGTGAACGGAAGTTGCCCTCCTCTTGACCTCAACCTGCTCGACGATACCGTCGCTTTCCTTGTCCTGATGAGCGGTCATATGTCTCGTGAGATGGTGCCTTTCACGAAAGCTCTCGTCGCAGACCGGACACCTAAGCTTCTCTTCTCTCCTTCTTCTCGCCGCTTCGCCCGCGCTCTCGCTCTTGTGATGAGAGCGCATGTGGTAGACCAAGTCGGAAGTCATCCTGAACGACAGATTGCATTTGGCGCAGACGTTCTGCGCCGGCAAGGTCAGAGCGGCGAATGACGGCGGCAAAAGGCCGGCGGCCGTGGCCAGGAATCGCGGTCTGGCGAGAGCGTCCGCCATCGGCGGGAAAACAGAGATCGGATTGTAGGAAAGATTAGGATAGACCGGCGGAAGATCCGGTCGGAAAGCGGACACCTTCGGACTGGGCACCTTGGGCGGCTGAGCGATCTGCGGGATCTTCAAGTTCTCCAACAATCCCGACTGGCCGGTCTCCGCTCCCACTGTCAAAAATGGATATGCCATCTTGGTGGGAAACGGCGCGTACTTGTAACTAGCCGCACCGGCCAACGACACCACCGGCGGACTGACGCTGCTCTGATAGCTAGCGCGATCGTCCGGCGATATCGACGATCTAGGAGACGCCTGGCTGTCATCGTTGAAGCCGTTTCGTTGTCCTGCCAGGTTGACCTTCGTGAAGGCACTGCGAGATTCGCCGTGGCGATCGCTCACGCAGGGGATACCACCAGTCTCGTAGACCTTCGCGCAGGATAAGACCGAAGGATCCGCCGATTCCGGACAGGTAGTCAGCATAGACTGATGACTGACGAAGGTAGGCGGACTCGGAGTCTTCTGAAGTCGACCGCCACCGCTCGGCGGGTATCTCCTTCCGTCGGTGTCTGGGGAAAGTCCCGGCAAGGTCGGCGTCAAGGTTCTCGGCGACACGTAGGGCGGACTCAACGAGTTCTCCGTGCATTGTAACATTCGCCTTCTTTCTGAACCGCCGGAATCGTTGTCGTAGTGCTTGATGGTGAGATTCTGCGGCAACCTCTCAGCATCCAGGACGTTATCAACGGAGATGTCATCTCGCGGACGCTCCTTTCGACTGGAGATCAATCGCAACTTCTCGTGTTGACGACGTGCCAGGTTCTCGTCGGGCGCTACCAGGAAGGCGACGTCGAAGGTCCGCTTGCTGGCACGCTGAAGAGGGTACGAGGCATCGGGTGTCACATCGCTGATAGACGTGGGGCACGCCGACGTCAGCGTCGTCGTAGCCGGCGTCGAGGTCGCGGGGGCGGCGCGATCGATGCCACCCGTGCGATCTTCCATTGTCATCCTGCTCGCTCCGGATGATCGACCTGCGAAACAATGACGGAGGGTGGACAATGAGTGTTAACGTCGCATCGGCGTGAAGTGATTGATCGCCCAAGATTCGATACACTTGGTCCAGCTGTCCTACATTCGAGATGCAGAAATCGGAGTAAAGCAAAATTGGTATCGTCAGGATAGTCGAGAGAAAGTGAAGCACAAGGTAAGCGGTCCTTCATTTCAATGGAATGTCAAATAATGGAAATCAGATTTTTATATCTATGCAGTCAAATTTTCAAAGAGTGAGATGTTCTTATGCTAATATCATCGAATATATTCGATAAATATATTATATATAAATTTTATTGGAATAAATATATTCGATTGAAAACGAAATATCAAAGTAACTATCGAAAATTAGCAATTTGAATAGACAATTTAATATTTAATTTTTTTTATTATGTAATGCATTCACGATTTATATTTTTATCGACTAAAACATGTTGCAATCAAACTTTGTTTTTAAAAAATATCAATATACATATAAAAAATTGATATAGGATTCATATGAGACTTGCCATTTTTATAAAATTATTATCAGTTCTATAAAAAAATCAGTCAGTTTTCTATAGAAATTTGTTGTAATTTTAAAACAAGATGAATATAAGATAGAGAGAAAGTAAAATCATATTTTATCGTATAATTACAACATTATATTTTTAAATTATAGAATATAATACGAGTTATTTCCATTATTAATTATTTTTTGATAATTAATTTCCATCAAAAATCAATGTCATAAGCTAAGTTTCAATAATATATATATATATATAAAACATTAATAATTAATCGACTATCCCATAATGATATTACGAAAAAATACACTTTAAATATTTAAAAATAAAATAATCCAATAATGTAAAAATATTGAAAATATCCGAGAAACATTCCAAAGTATTCTAAAAGTCACTTTAAAATTAATATTTTGTAAAAATCTTGAAAATGTATATTAAATATTTGCGTGTATATTCTACTATGTACAATCATACATACATTAGAATAAAAATGACTTACCGGATTAGGATGGCAAGTGTTCTTCCAAACACGCGCCGCTACACTAGCTCGATCACGTTTTCCATCCCTTAGGGTGCTTCTTCGATCTTCTCTAAGACATTAGCTTGCACTTTTTTCTCACAAGGCTGTTTCGCCGAAACCGAGCCTCGCGAGCACGCGAGCTCGTGAGAGCAACAAGAGGCGAAATGAACCCTTTAACGGACCACACCGATCCGGTGTACAGTCCGGGTTGCACTAAGTGGCGAACACTCGGAGCCGTGTCGGCTGTTCGCGTTAAAATGAGAGTGCCGTTCGCGCATCCCCCGTATTTAGGGATAGCCGTCGCAGAGGGTAGCGCGATCGTGGCAGGTGGAGGCGCAACGAGGGTGGCACCGGCCAATGGCGATGTTCGCAACGTTATACGGGGGTGGAGCGTAGCAAAGGGGTGAACATATTCGCTCGTCGGGATGCGTCTGCTAACAGCATCCAGACCACGCCTACATATTTCAGGTTCGACACATGTGCCCAGGATTGTCGTCGTCGTCGTCGTCGTCGTCGTCGTCGTCTACGTCGGCTCTTGCAACCCCCTTTCTCTCCACCCGACTCTGCCTTACCCTCTCCGCGTTGCGCAACGCGTTCCGCAGAATTCCGCTCCGCCAGGGTGACGAAGGGGATGGCAGGAGAAAGGAGGGGAATTGGTACGACCGGAGGCTGTAATTCAGTCTGACAAACGATCTTGAATATTTTTAACGCCCGCGTCCGCTCCTTTTTTATGGCCAACTCATGACTATATTGGACGTTCGGCAGACGACCCGGGTCTGCCGATGAAGATACGATGACGACGGGGTGAATCCGTTTCAGAGAAACTTGGAAAATTCTTTCGCGAGAGCTTATCAATTATATATCGTAAACGGACTGACAAGTATGCATATATATTTACAAATTGCATTATTTTTGTCTTCAATGTTATTAATTATTTTTTCCCTTAATTAATTTGAGAATTAATTAAAAGTAACGCGTCTTCGATTTCATTCGCAAATTGTTATTCTTATTCTTAACCATCTTTTCAGCGCTTACATTATTATTTTATTCATTTCGAGTGCACAATTATGAAAATACGAATTACTGCAAATCGGATTCATTTAATCATTTTTATGAAATTTCGCGCGTAAACGTCGAAATAAGTCAAGACGGGTGGCATCGTAGTTTCATGTCGGAAAAATAATACAAATACTCCCGATACAAGCGGATAAAATGAGTAAAAACCCGCTACGGAGCCAATAGGCGATCAATCATACGCCGGTGATCTATTTTACCGGGCATGTGAGAGCCGTCGATTTCTTACGCGATTCCCGAGATCCTGGCAAATCCTACGGGGAACGCCGCGAGGTTAAAGGACATTAACTTCTTGATTGAGTCGACAAAAAGTTGTAATGACTTTTCGATTGGCGCTATCCTGTATCCGGTGCCGCGACTTGTGAACTAGTATTTACAGAAGAACGTCATCGTTTCTTTTATCTCTTATACAGGATACTTCAGAAATACTGGGAGAAATTCTCGTCTTTTCTTTTATTCACCGATACTGAACATCGGAATAAGAAAAGTGGCAGAGAATTACGTCTCTCAGTGTATACAAAAATAAATGATGAACAAGTTACTCTGTAATGAAAATTAAAAGATCCGAGATCGCTCGAATAACATAATCTCGGTAATACGATAAACCCGAACGCCACGACGAGATGCTCCCGGCGATGATTCTTCGGCAATTCACGCGCGGAATAAATTAAACGATCCGCCTCATGTGCAGCAGATAGCGCGATGCGCGACACTCTAATCCTAATTCGGAGTCGTAAAGTCGCGAGGGAATCGTTACGACGACGTTACATGTGACACGCGTCGCACGACGGGGCGGCTACGAAACGTCTCTGTATCTTAGCACAGCCATTCCTGGATTATGAACTATATTTATTGCCGATCATATACAGCACCGTTTCCCGTGAACTCGGATAGAGATGGCGATATACCGATCCCTAATTCCATTTTACACCCTTCTGCCTCGCTTCGGGTAAAACAATATTTTTAAGAGAAGGAACTGCACTTTTTCATTCTCCTTTTTTTTCTTATAGAAAGATATAATATGTAAAATAATACAATAGAGACGAAAGAGATGTAGTATAAATTTTGATTAATTATAAATTGCTTCTACTTAGAAAAAGAGTAAAATGTTTATCTAATGTAGCTGTACATATGTAGGTGATACATATCGCATGTTTTCTTCTCGCGTCGTTTTTCCACTATTTTTCACTATCCTACCCCTAGTCTCACGAAACTGTAACGCGCAAACTGCAAATTCGTTTCACTTAGTTTACAATCTAAATCACTCGAGTAGAAAAATACGTTGCGCGCGTGAGAATCGCCACCGTCTGCCCATGTTATCCTGCAAATCGGCCAGAAAGAGGGCAAGTTTCGCGTCGCCTAATTCGACCAAGTTAAACGCACGAGCGGACGGTGCCGACACGTGGCAGACACGCGTGAGCTGTTAACACCGAGCGTGGCTCGTCGAAGGGCCGTTTAACACCGACACTGGGTGCCATAGGGCGCCACTTTAATACAGGCAGGGTCTGTTACGTCAACTAACTGGACACCTTACATGATGCGTATATTTTGGCTCCATTAACTTCTTCGCGAAAGAAGTTAATACGTCATCGATCGAGTGCCTCGCGGATTTAAGCAAGAATTATAGGAAAATTTAATTATTTAATATTTTATTCATTTTTTAAAATAAAAAATATATTGAAAACTTTTCAATTGCTATTTAATATTTATATCGAATAATTTATACAAAAATTTTAATACGAAAATATGTGCATTCCTATATCTAAAAACTAATCGATACAAATTTTAGGAGTATTTTAATTACGTTGGAAAATTTTCGATATAAATTTTTCCTTTTTTAGTGTAGCGAAAGTCTATTTCGTGCGTTATTTGAACTTGTTTTTTTCGTAGTGTTTTGCGCTTCGCAAAAGGAGTAATGTCATCCACTTCTCGCATCGCTGACGCGGCTGCAAGTGCAGTGCGCATTTCTGTCGGGCCGCACGGTGATAAATATGCAGTCGATGCAGTTGATGAGAAAAGGTCGTTTATCAATCACCCATTAACGCAGCCCCGCCGAAAACCTGCTCGCCTCTGAGCCATATTTCACAGAATCATCGCGATTCCCTTCTGGCCGCTTTGGTCGCACGCTCGGTTTTCCATTTACCGTCCGTGTTATTCAAAAGCAAGAAACGTATAGAAGCAAAAGTTTACATCAATACTTGTTCATTTAATCAATTATTAAATATTAATGAAAATATCATAATAATCTGTCGATTTTCTCTAAATAAAAATAAAAATAAAAATTCTAAAAAAAAAAATTGCAAAGCTAAGTTATATTAAACAGATTTTATGTGTATATAAATACTACATCTCTTGTCTCTACATTTATATAAATTGTAATTTATTTGACCTTTTAGCAGATTTGTTATAAAGCGAAATATACGCGGAATAAGAAAATACGGTAAAAGATGAGACAAGGTTAGTGCTTCTTGAGGAATTCTTAAAACAGGGTGGTCTCGGCCTGACAAATTGAATGTGCGATAAGTTCAGAGGATTGTTGAAATAACTGGGCGTGGTGTACATACTCACAGAGTGAGAGAAAGGGAGATTGCCGAGATGAGTGCGGGAGATTCAGATTTTACGGACATTTAGGCGATTCCTTGACTTATAGCCGGGACCATGCATACCAAATGAATCGACTGTGCCGTTTAAACACTCTCGTAATTTTGCTGTGCCGAAATTCTTGCGGAACGAAATATCTTCATTAAAACCAAATTAAACGAATAATATCGACAATTCGTTGTAACAAAAACGGCCCTTTCTAACAATTTATTAAACGTTTCAAGTACTTTATCGAAAGATTACGTTGATTAACTTTGTCTTATAAATTGAACTGCATTCTCGCGACGATGTGTCCTTTGGCAACGTCTTACCTACAGCATCAGAATTCTCAACGCCATTCTTCCCCCACGCATCTCCCTCTATCTATCCGTCTATCTGTTCTACGAGAGAAGTTTGTCCCGCTCTCTTGTTGATATCGTTCCAGCGATATCGAGTCGCGCACGCGTTCTCTCTCTCTCTCTCTCTCTCTCTCTCTTCCTCTCTGCGGTTTGCTCCGGGGAATTTAATTCTATTCCATTCGAAGCAGCGCCTAAGATGCCACCTTCGGCTCTTATCTCTGTGCACACGGTGGGTTGCGCGTGGCGGTTGCTTATGTGTTACGTGAATACCTTACCTAAATGCCGCCGTCGCGGGGAGAAACGTCCCTTGCGTGCCCGTTTCGCGAAGCACTCACCCCCTCGGCGAGGCGAGGGTGAGCAGCGTCGCGCGAGGGAGTCGACCGAGGAAAATTAATGCGACTTCCAGCCGGGCGCTATCGGACGCCGCTATCTCGCGCCTCGACCGCGCGCCGTAAACGTGAGCCGCCTAGACGAGAAGTTCCCGAATTTAAGCGACGAAGTCGCGCCGAAAGTGGTGCGCGATCGTGACTTTACGCGGATGGAAAACGCGCCGCGATATCTCTCTTCAAGCGTTTTCCTCGCCGAATAGTCGCGTCTGTTTTCTCAGAATAGTTCTTGAGGAATTTCATTATTTTCGTTCATCCGATTCTCTCTTCAATTTTGTTACGCCGTATAAGTAATATTACGTATTTGTGATTGAAAAGAATTTATTTCGAATTTGATTAATTTTTATATTTATATGGAATGTCTCGATGTGTTGTTGAAATGCAGAATGTTTAATATCCTGCTTACGTCTGTTGTCAGAATACTACGTCTATTCCTGCTAAAACCGAGAGCATGTAATGGAACGAAGAAATTAACGGGTAGATACTAAGCTGCTCGTTTATCATAAGGATGACTCGGTGGACCAGAGCGCCATGTGCTCTTAAGTGCGTTCTGTTAACGCCAGTTTAATTCGTATTGATGATGGTAGAGAAAAGAGAGAAAAAGATAGACTAACGTGTGTATCGTCGAAATGTTCGATGCGCATTCGTAATCTATAATTCCACAATAAAAATCCTGATATATTCTTATCGAATATACCAACACTTTTCCACATTCATAATATTAATAATTTACTAAAAGTTATATTTTTATCATTCACAATTAGAACAATTATACATAATAGAACAATTATAACTCTAATCACTTTCTATTTGCCATTAAAATTTGAACAACCGTCATAATGAATA